ACAGTTGCTTAAGTGAATCACTGCAGTTATGTTACATGCCAAGATAAGATAAAATAAGTGAAACAAGTCATAGAATGGAATAGAATAGAATAGAATAGAATAGAATAGAGGAATGAAGAATAGAATAGAATAGAATAGAATAGAATAGAATAGAATAGAATAGAATAGAGGAATGAAGAATAGAATAGAATAGAATAGAATAGAATAGAGGAATGAAGACTAGAATAGAATAGAGGAATGAATAGAATAGAATAGAATTCTTTATTGGCCAAGTGTGGCTGGACACACAAGGAATTTGTCTCCAGTGCCTAAGTTTCAGTATACATACAAGTAATAGTGATAAATCATGTTGGAAGTGATAAATAGTGATAAATCATGTTGGAAGGGGCCTTGGAGGTTATCTAGTCCAACCCCCTGCTCAGGCAGGAAACCCTACACCATTTCAGACAAATGGTTGTCCAGTCTCTTCTTGAAAACTTCCAGTGTTGGAGCATTCACAGCTTCTGGAGAACCAAATTATGAGAAAGCATCGCTTCCGCCTAAGAACAAGTTCTTGAACAAAAGATATTGAGACCAAAAAACCCGAATAAGCCGTCCTAACTCTCATGAGGCTTAGACCCAGATGTTTGTTTGATGAACCAACCCTGATAGAAACAGTTTTGATTTGATTTGATCTTGTTTATATGATAATATAGAAGGCTGGGTTAAATAGATTGCAATTATTAATAGGTAGGGTCTGTTCAATTGCCTAGTTCCCCAAGTAGCCAAAGGATAATGTTATCCTTCAGTGGAACTCAGAATATAAGTGCAGAAATAATATAAAACATTAATATATTTTTTTTGTCTTTTGGATTCTGAAAGGCTGCTTTTGCCTTGTGGAATATTTTTTTTGCCAGTGAAAAAAATAGCCATACTAGTTAATCTTTTTAAAAGTTCAATATTAAATATTATTATTTAAGGTCCTCCATCAGAGGGAGCTAAGGAGCTTAGCTAGCAGTTATTAAGGCTTTCCTTTATAGTAATATATAATTTTATGTATAGATAGTCTTTTTTTCCAAAGAAAGATTAATCTATATAAATAAAAATGTAAATGTTCGTTTGTTCAAAATCTTAAATCTCCGAAAGTTCTTCACCGATTGCTTTGAAATTTTGACACAACGTTGCATTCGAATACGCGCGTGTTTTTATATACCTGCTATTATGTAGATGTCACACCTGTGACAGGTAAAAACATGCTTGGACAACTATGTTGCGTGTTTTAGAGTCGGCAAACCAGACAATCTCTATATCTGCACAGACAATGGAACAACAAAAATATTGTATACCCACAAGCATTGTGAAATTAAACATATTACAAACGTGCGCTTTCTCTTTTCTTTCTTTTCCATTTAACCAGACTGAGCCACAGCAACGCGTGGCCGGGTACAGCTAGTATACTATATAATAAAACAAGTATATAAATATAAGCTATCTAATGTCTTGCAATTAAATTCATGGAGCTTACTTGTCCATACAGTGGATAAACAAAAGGCAAAAAGAGAGAAAGGAATATTTCGCTCACAAATAAAATGTTATCAGGCTTTGCCAGACCAAACACAACCTCATTAACATTTTGGGTTGGAGGCTTGCCTAAATGGCTATCAATTTTAGACTCCAGATTCTGAATGGATCGACATCCCGGTGATAGATAGAGGGGTTATGTGAAAATAGTTCATAATTTACCTATCTATTCTAGGGACTTTAAAGTAATCTCCTGCCGCTGGACTGTTTACCTCAGGGGTCTTCCAACTTGGCCCTTTTATGACTTGTGGACTTCAACTCCCAGAATTCCTCAGCCAGGCACGTTGGTTGAGGAATTCTGGGAGTTGAAGTGCACAAGTCACAGAAGGGCCAACTTTGAAGACCCCTGATTTAGAGTCTAACACAAATATTTATTCTAAAGCAGGGGTGTCCAATTTTATCGACTTTAAGACTTGTGGACTTCAACTCCCAGAATTCCCCAGCCACCTGCTCTAAAGAATGGTACTTTTTGTAACCCCTCCGATATTGCTATCGTCCTATAATTTAGGCAGATAAATCAATAGTCCACATTTTTTTTTAAAAAAAGTATAGGCTGAATCGAGAGATTTAATTTGAGAACTATGTTTATAAAGCAAGTTATTACAATCCACATTAATATGTTGCCGGTAGCTTCAAGACATTATATATATTGCTCTTATTTTTTTTAGTTAAATATACTCATGGAAATGTAATGTTTTAGAGGCTTTAAGAGAATTGTACAAATTTTGACCTTGGAATACTTCCAGAAACTTAATGACTAATAATTTTAGCTGCTGCTCAAACCAAGTTTTTGAAAAATGCAATTGGTTACAGATGAAAATAATTTTAACGATATAGATTTTTGGCTAAACAACAGCCGGTAGATGTTTATGATCCATTCCAATTCAGATGTAGCTTCTTCTTAGCATACTGAATCTCCAGAAAATATATTTTATGTGCAAACAATTCAGAGAGCAGGAGAAAAATAAAAAACTTTATGTAACTATTTTAAAAAAGGGACGTTCTCCTACAGGATGTACAGTAGCTTAGTGGTGGTCGTTTGATATCTCTGCTTCATAATGTTATGCAATATAAATATATTGTCAATCTTCTTGGCAACGGAGTACAATGTGACACGTGTCGTTCACGGGCTGTCTTGTAAAGTTGCATGTCACGGTTGGTTGCCATGACAACGGATAGTATGCCTGCTGTCGTCCTGAACGCATTTATGTTGATATGTGTGTTACATTTGTGCTTTGTGTGTTTGCCCAAAGGTTGCAGCTAGGGCAGATAATACAGCTAATTTTTTTCATTATAGTCATTAATATTGCAAATAAGCTTTGAACATTGTTGTTTTGATTGCTGGTTCTTAGACCTTCTGCAGTGATAGGAACAAGCATGGGTATTCTAAAGATTGACAATATATTTATATTGCATAACATTATGAAGCAGAGATATCAAACAACCACCACTAAGCTACACCCTGTAGGAGAACGTCCCTTTTTAAAAATAGTTACATAAAGTTTTCTATTTGTCTCCTGCTCCCTAAATTGTTTGCACATAAAATACATTTTCTGGAGATTCAGTATGCTAAGAAGAAGCTACATCTGAATTGGAATGGATCATAAACATCTACTGGCTGTTGTTTAGCCAAAAATCTATATCGTTAAAATTATTTTCATCTATAACCAATCGCATTTTTCAAAAACTTGGTTTGAGCAGCAGCTAAAATTATTAGTCATTAAGTTTCTGGAAGTATTCCAAGGTCAAAATTTGTACAATTCTCTTAAAGCCTCTAAAATATTACATTTCCATGAGTATATTTAACTAAAAAAATAAGAGCAATATATATAATGTCTTGAAGCTACCGGTAACATATTAATGTGGATTGTAATAACTTGATTTATAAACATAGTTCTCAAATCTCTCAATTCAGCCTATACTTTTTTTTAAAAAAAATGTGGACTATTGATTTATCTGCCTAAATTATAGGACGATAATACAGCTAATTTTTTTTTCACTATAGTCATTAATATTGCAAATAAGCTTTGAACATTGTTGTTTTGATTGCTGGTTTTTAGACCTTCTGCAGTGATAGGAACAAGCATGGATATTCTAGGGATTAAAGTTTATTTTCAGTGATGTGACTTACCTCGTGTGATAAATAAACTATATATGCAGATTTACACCAATAAAATATTTTATTGTTGGCAATAGCCTAGCAATAAAAATATCAAAAGATTACGGAAATCTACTTTTTAAAAACAAGTTTAATATTAGTTTCAGTTTCACCTGGAAACCGTTTATTTATATCTAAGATTTGGGCACTCTTAAAAATAAGGGTTCTAAGCTCCTTAATTACTACGGCTTGTTTTTATTTTACGGACATCTCAGCTAAGCTCAAATTGATTTTCATAACATTCAATCTGACAGGTTTTTGAAAGGGCTGAAGTGTGAAGGTCTCGTGACAATATTTCCACTCTCGTTCTAATTTAAGTTCATTTATTTGCCCAGTTGGTACAGCTGCCCTTCTTTTACGTGTCTCTAGGCAGCTTGCAATAAGTAAAAATGTAAAAAGCAAAATAAGAATAAAAACACACAGCAACTGGGCCCAATTTAATCTATCTCTTTCCTTTCGTGGTGATCGTGTCCGTGATCAGGTTGGGCTGAGAAAGAAGGACTAGCCCAAAGTCATCCAACTGGCTTTCATGGCTAAGG